CCTCCAATTTACTTATTTTATTTGACCATTTAGGCTGCTTCCATTTTTTTCCCATTATTACAAATAATGTACTGTCATTATATCCAATCTCCTGTTTTTCTGGGTATTACATAGTGCTGGCTATTTGGAGGTCTTAGGCTGAATTTTACAACTAGTGTTTCCTATGGCACAGAGCAGCCATACAGGAGAATCTCAGGTTAGCTATAAAGTTAGATTATAACATGGTAGCAACTGACCTTTTTTCCCCCTCTAAAATTCTCCCTGAATTCTACTTCCTCCTGAATACTCTTGACATTGCAATGAGTAAGTACCACCTTCCATTGAAATATCCAAGCTTGAAAACTGAGTGTCACTTTGGGCTTCTCCTTGCTACCCCCATCCAATCAGAAACCAAAATCATCCTTAATCTCTCTCAAATCTCAACTCCCTTATCTGGCTTCACTGCAGCTGCCTTAGTTTACCTAAATGACCTACTTATTCCTGCCTCTAGTCTTCCTAAGTCACCCCAGTTAATCCATTTCTCTACACTGCTGCCAAATTATCTTTTAAAAACACACTTAAGATCACATCCTTCCTCTTCTTAAAAGCCTTCACTAATTGTCTACCCTACTTCTACCCCAGTACCTGAACTTTCAAGATGTTCGGATCCTTAGCCTCCTTCAGGCCCTGTCAAAATCCAATCCTAGACTCTAGAACTCCTCTAGACTCCTCCAAGACCCTCCCCCAATATGTCCAACTCTGCTATGAGTATCTCATACTTTTGTCCATGTCATCATACTGTTACCTGTACCTAAAAAGCATCTCCCCTCTTTTCATGGTCTAGCTAATTCCTTGCCTTCAAAACTCAGCTTGAGGCCAGGTATGGTGGCTCACACCTGTAATCCCAGCACTCTGGGAGGCCTAGATCAGAGAATTGATGGTAGTTGAGACCAGCCTGGGCAACACAGTGAGACCTCATCTGTAAAACAAACAAACAAAATTAGTTTGGTGTGGTGTGGTGTCACGTGCCTGTGGTCCCAGCTACTCAAGAGGCTGAGATGGGAGGATCACTTGAGCTCAGGATGTTGAGTCTTCAGTGAACCAAGATGGCACCACTGCACTCCAGCCTGGGTGACAGAGTGAGAAACTGTCTCAAAACAAAACAAAAAACAACAAATTCTCAGCTTGAATGTCACCTCCTATGGGAAATCTTCACTTACTCCCAGCAATTCCATTGGGCATCCTTCATGATTAGATTCAGGTTATTCATGTCTACCAGGAATATCACAGAAGTGATATGTTCTTCCAGTGTACTATATCAGGGGCCACATGATGTCTACTTGTCACATTCCTGGTAATACTGATTTTAATCACTCAACATGGAGTCTTTCAGGTTTTCTATTGAAAAGCTACTATTTTCTCCTTTGAAATTAATCAGTATCATGTGGGCAGATACTTTGAAACTATATATATTTTTTGTTTCTCAACATACTTTTACCTACTTTTACCCACTACTTTTAGCATCTGGGTCTCATTTTTCTCACTGGTCAAATGAAATGCATAGACTGAAAGTGGTTTGCAAAATTATCACTCTCAAAGATCCCTTTCTTATACTCCCTGTGTTGGATCTCCTATAATGAAAGAAGTTGTCCACCAAACCAATGTTACTCCTTCAGGTACATGTGTCTCATTTTCTCAGTATACATTCATGAAACATGCCTACTGAACTGTAAGCTTGGAAAACAAGGCCTGTTTGTCTCACCAATGAATGCCGAGACCTATCACAGCACCTGCCACAAAGTAGGTGGTCAACAAATATTTGTTGAAGGACTAAATCTAACTGCCAATCACAGCTGATGCCCAGCATTTGATGTCTGCAGTGAGGACACAAAGTTGATAAATGCTATTCTAAGGCAGAGACTCGACATTTTAGTTAATCTCAGAGGCTTTGTCACTGGTCACTGTACACTTATCATAAAGATTTTAAAAATAGATTGGACAGATTGTGTGGAAACTTCCCACCCACCCCAGCCCATCCCTGCCTTTCTGAGATGCCCTAGTTATGAGATGTTGAAGGGGCATTCCAGCACCCCACGTTTATAATCTGTGATGCCTTTATAATCAGCATATGGCAACTGGCTAGACAGTCTCCTCACCACACAGAAGAGTTTTCAAAATAGCCTACCCCTCCTTTCACATTTATGTGAAATTAGCATTGTCACATTTCCTCCTTCATTAACTACTTTAGATCAGAGAGACACAGTGTAGCAGAAGATCATGAAGTTGTCTTAAAGAAGGAAACTAATGTAAATTAAGTGTCTCATATACACCCAGTGCTTTCTTTCCATTGTTCTCTCTTTTAATCCTCACCACAACTGGTGAAGTCGGTATCATCCATTTTATAGATGAGAAAACTGAAGCCGGGTAAGGGGAAATGGCTCGCACTAAGTCCTACAGCCAGCAGGCAGCAGGGCTGGAGTGGGAATTCCTCCAGTCTCTTCCCCAAAGCCCTTCCAAGTTGCCACTCAGTCAAACTACCACTCTCATCACATAAAAATGCCCTTCTCTTGGAAATGTGCTTGCCATCACGATCCAGACATTCGAGGGACAGAAATCTCTTGGACTGCAATCACTGCTATTTTTTAAGTGATTGTTATCACGACTCAGTAGCTGTTACCATGGTTTTGGGGAAGTTGTCCGAGGAAGGAGGGCCTTTCTTTGGGCATCTTGCATGCCTGAGGAAGGAACTCAAGATCTTAGTTCTTAATTACCTCTGATTGTGCTGCAGTAGCAACTTGAAAGAGACCGTCCCTAGAAAAGTGTTGGGGTGGGGGGTGTGGAGTAACATCCAGCGGGCAGGCAGAAGGGAGGCCGTGGGCCCCAGAGAGACCCAGGGAAAGGCGAAGAGGAGGGAGAGGAGACCAGACCCTGCTACGGGGACCCTGGAGAGAATGTCAAAGGAGGAGGAAAGAGAACAAAAGGCAAGAGAAGAGGAAGTACAAGGAAGTCCAGAAAGGAAAAGAGAAAGTTTCAGAAAGGGGGAGAGAAAGCAAGCAAGGAGGGTAAAAGAAGAAAGAGATCAAGAAAGATACCGAACTGAGAGACTCGGAGAACTCGAGAAAGCAAAGGAGGTAAAAGGAGAGAAGATGGAGAAGGCGACGGAGAGGAAGGGGGAAGGAGAGAGAGGAACCGAGACTGGGGTGAGGGAGCGGCCCCGCGTGGCCCCCGGAGAGGCTCCCATCACCTGCGTGGCGCCCCCCGGCGCCGGAGGGCAGCCCTGCTCCCAGCGCCCGTGCGCCGCGCGGCTTGCCGGCCTCATAGGATTGGCTCCCGCCTCCCATTCATGTAACCTGCGTGTGCGTGTGCGTGTGTGTGTGTCTCTCTCTCGCTCGCCCTCTCTTTCTGTGTGTAAGAGAGCGAGGGTGGGGGACGGAGGCAGGCAGGCGAGCAGGCAGGGAGGGGAAGAAGAGAAGGGAAGCTATTAAACACACACACACACACTCACACACGCGCGCGCACACACCCGCCCCAACCCCCCAGAAGCCTCGGGATTGCAGCTGTTTCATGTGGGGCAGCAGTGCTGGCAGGGACGCCGGCCGGGAGCGGCCGGGAGCGGGAGCCGGGCGTGCGCGCGCGGCTGGAGGCTCGCTGGGGCTCCGCTCCCCGCGGGAGCTATTGTTGGTCTCGCTGGAGCTGAGTGCAGAGCCCGGACCTGCTCCTTCCTGGGCGCCCTGCTCCGGCTCGCGGAGCAGTGGAGCCGCGCCGCCGAGAGAGAGAGGAGCCACCGGCGCGGCGCCTTGCCTCCCTGCCGCCCTCCTCTCGGCTTCCCCGGCGGTAGCAGCCTGCAGCCACGGTAAGGCGGCGTGATCCGCTCTACGGAAAAGCGCCTTGGGGACCGCGGCGACGCCTCGCCAGCTCCGTCGTCCTCTGCACTGCTGGCCCAGGCAGGGTTCGGGTAGCTCACCCGGCTGCCGAGGGCTCCGGGAGATGTTTGCCTGCTCCCCTGGCCCGAGAGGAGGGAGGCTAGGGCGCGGGTGGTCGAGGGGCAAGCTGGTCTGGAGCCCCGAGCCGCCGCAGCCCCCGGAGCCCGCCGCGGACTGGAGCCTGGGAGCAAGGGCTGGGGGAGGGCAGGGAGGTGGGAGGCGGGTGGGAGGGAGGCGGCGCGCCCCAGGTTCGTCTGCCTCTCCCAGCTCCCCTTCCCCGCCCCAGCCCCGTCGCCTGCAGCCCCTCTGCAGACCAGCCCGCCCCAGGCTCCCGGCTCGCGAGGAGCCCGCGAGGCAGCGCCGGGCTTCAGCGGCTGCAGCCTGCCCTGCGGGGCAAGTGCCGGCTGCAGCAGCCCCGCACGGGCGGTGGTTGGAGCTCAACCCGGAGATGCGACCCGAGCTCCTCGCCCTCTGCAACCCGTGGGTCGCCCGCGTCTCCTCACCGGACGCCCGGCCGCGGTATTGACGTTCGTCTCGGAGCCAATTGAGGCTGCAGCCGCCGGATGGACGCTTGGAGGGCTCCCGGGTGTGAGTGTGACTGTGTGACTACTCTCACCCCCAGCTTCAGGAAATGTGCCCAGGGTTGAAATGTGATCACCGAGCTCCTTAGTCATTTTAATTGCCATTTTTAAATGCGGTCGTTACATTGGAGGAGCAGACGGGAAGGTAGTGGGGTGGCGTGTGTGTGTGTTTGTGTACACACACGCCAACAGAGGAATACACAACCAACTACTTGGGTGAAGGGCAGGGGGTTCAACTAGTGAGTCCTTCTTGGCGGGGTGGTCGGGCGAGTTAGCTGCCTGCTGCCCGCCCCTTCTCTGCCTGCCCCCGCCTAGGCGAGGTTGGAAAGTACTGGAAATTCAACTGCGTGATGCTTAACTTTGGAAATTGGCTCCCCTTTCAGGGCAAAACGTTAAGGCGATTTATGCACCCGCGTCCATGTGGATAAGTGCCTTACTGTTCATTTGGGTAAGGAGCCCTCAACAGTACCGCGCCAACCCCCCACCCTATCTCTAACTCCCTCCCACCCCCTAACCCTGGAGAGAGGGTTTATAGAGATGCAGTTATCCGTAAACCATCAACGCACTGAAAGGGGCGCAGGGAGGCAGCCAGGGTTTTGCCGGAACCTGCATGCTGGCTTGGTGTTTGACTAGCACACGAGATCACCCTGCTGCTTTGTAGAAGGTGGCAGTGGGGCACGCTCGGGATTCCGATCGCCGGGGTGGGGGGTGGGGGGAAGAGGGTGCCCATGTACTGAGCTCTCAGGACGCGTAAGGAGAGAGATCTGCCGAACGGCATCGCGGGCAATTACATAAGCTGCTCGGTGATTACCCGGAACTGTGATGCGAGCACCCGGTTCTCGAAAGACAAGCCTTAAAGTTTGCCTGCTTGGGGAGTGTAAGTACCGGGGCGCTCCCACCCCAGCCCGGGTAGCTAGGATACGCCTCGCACCACGGCGCCCACTTGTGCGATGGGCGTAGGGTGCTGATGCTGCTGTCCCCAAAGAACCGGTTACCGAGGCAAGGACTCGGTGGGGGCATCCGGAATTGATCGCAGAGGAGGAGTCAGTCAGAACTCAGGTTTCGTTGAGTCTTCAGAGCTCTAAGTCTTCTCTCAGAGGTGTTGGAAGGCCTTCCAGGGAACGCCGTTTTCAGAAACTGACTTGGTGTCCTAGGGAGCCCCAAAACCCCTCTTTTCCGCCCTTCCTGGGCGCCCCTGCTCGTCTTTCACACCCTGTGCCCTTCGCGTGTTTAGAAACCTGCCCGCGGTGCCTGGTCCCCCTTGGAGATTCCCAGGCAGCCCAGCCATCCAGGCCCAAGCTGGCGAGGGGTTAGAGGGAGTAGAACGCTGGCTCCGCCGGGCTGCCACCCTTACCTACACCTATTCCTGGTTTCCTGGGCTAGCCCGGCGCTGATGGGGACGGGATGGGGCTGGGGCCGGGTATGGCTTCAGTCCCCTCGCCTCTCCCCTCTGCAGACAGCAGTTTGCTTCTGTTGCGTTTATTCTCCCCGTCTCGCCGCTTCCCTCCAGCGCCGCAGCTTGTGTATCACGTTGATAGGCTTTGATAGAGAAACCACAGTAAGAGTGTGCTTTTAAATCTTGATTTTCGTCTGTAGAGGGATAAGCCACCCCAGCCCTGACAGAGCCTTGGGGAACGCTGAAGTCTGGGACACATTGGCCCTGAACTCTTCCCTTCCCCCTAGCCCGCAGTCAGGAGATGGTGGTGTGCATGGGTGGGGAGTGTTTTGTTTTTGCCACATTCCAGCGTCCTGAAACCTCTTGTCCCCTCCCACTGAAATCCCCGATCTGTCTGAATCTGTTCCGTGCTGTAAAATAAATCCTCCCTCGCGCAGACCTGTGGGGCCCTTCGGATTTCCTGCCGCTGCCATGATCCTTAACAATGCGATTGCAAAGCCAGTGCTCGACTGGAAAAAAATCCCCAGGTGCCAGCCGGCCGCGCCTTGACCTTGCTGAAGGAGCCTTTAACCCGGCTGCCAGAGGGGCTCTGGTCCAGCCGCGGGAATCCAGGAAGAAGAAGGGCGCCCCGGAGGCGGCTGGGTTCGCTCCCCGGACAGGGCGGGAATCGGGTCGCGGCGGGGACGGCAGAGAGGGGGAGGGGACCGGACTCCGCCGCAACCTGTTTGCCGGCGCGCAGGGCCCGCGCATCCCCACTCCCTCGCCCCGGCCCCTAGTGACCCGCCTTCCCCACCGGCCTCCAGTTGTCTTCGGGGTACCGGAGTCGGCCGCGACTCCCTCGCGCTCTGCGCCGGAGTCCGCGGGACACCACCAACTTTGGGCTCCTCGGTGGCCGGAGCAGCGGTGCGAACCAGCAAGGCGGCCGTGTGGGCGGGGCCTGGGCGGGAAACTGGAGCCCAGACTACAGCATTCCAGGCCAGGTTCCAGCCGCAAGCGCCGCGCCGCACAGTGTTGAGTCCCGGCCGCGCCTTTCTCCCCTCCCCCGCCCGGCCGCGTTCCTCCGCACTCACAGCGCGCTCCGGGCCCTCTGCGCTTCGGCTTTCAGCGGGAGCCCTTCTCGTCAAAATTACGAGGGGTGTTTTCACTGGTGGTGACAGTGGGAACTAGTTTTCTGCGCGCCTGTGTGTGTGTGCATTTGTGTGTGTGTGTGTGTGTGTGTGTGTTGGGGAGCAGAGAGATTTGCATCAGAGGCACACATAGCGCAAAAAACGGGTTTCCAGGTGTTCTAAGGGAATGCTGAGGAAGAATCCGTTTTCTCTGGTGAGGGTGTTGTCGGGAAACCCTTACACTTAGTGGAACTGGACCTGTTGGAGCTGAGTGCCTAGAGTGAACGGGTGTCTCCCTTAGCGGCACCTTGCGTGCAGTAGGTCCTTGGAAATGTTTGGGGAACTGAAAGTCCTCAAGAGATTCAGCCAGGACTTAGGGCATAGATGTTCGTGTGCTTTTAGGGAAGTAATTCGGGGAAGCTTTTATTCCCAGCATGTGTCTTGAATTGAGGGGAGGGCAGGTTGCGGAGGGCTTGTGGAATTGCCATCTTCTGTGGTGGGGAATCGGGGAAGGGATCGGGGACGGAGAGCTTCGGTTTTCTAGAAAGAGTTCTTGGATTATTCCTCTGCTCGCATCCTGTTCTCATCAAGGCCTCTGGGGGTGGAGGTAAAGTGGTGCAGTAAGCCGATCAGTCACCCTAGTAGACCGACCTTGACCAGTGCGAACCCCAAGGGGCAGAACTAGTGCTTGGTCTGAACAAGAACCATCAAAGGATAGTTCTGTAGTGAGTGGAGTGGCCTGAATATGAGCTAGAAGGCTAGGTATTAGAGTAGTGGGTTCCCACGGACTCTCCTCCAATAGAATCTGATTCTATTTGGTATAGTCGCCTCAATCTTTGGTGGTTTTGTGGGAGTAAAATGATACGATGTGACTTTAATCCCTTAACTATTGGGTTGGAATCATGGCTCTGTGACCTTAGGCAAATTGTCTTTGGAGCTTCAGTCCTCTCCCCTGTAAAATGGCACAATATTGTTTAGTTTGCAACACTGTCCATATTAACATCGCTAAGGCCTCTGGCATACTGTGGTGCCTTCACAGATGATTGTACCCTTCTACCTCCTTATCCCTTTCCAGGAAACATCCTGCATTTGTTGGGTGGAGACTGGGCAGAGAAATCAACAGCCCCAAAAGAACCACTAACCTTGCATCCAGCCTATTTAAAACCAGCTTCAAATGCTTGAAATGAAAATATCTTTTCTTTTCTTAGGAAAGTCATTTCCAGTTTTGTTAGAATTTGTGCTTCATGGAGTCCCTTTCTCTGACAGAGTTGCATCCTCATGCAGATTGGCATGTCACGTAACCCAATATTTCCAAATCAAAAGTTACAAATAAGGGAAAAGAAAGTGATTAGGAATTAAAGATTGTTGGGCAACATAAGCCAGAGACTCAATTTAAGATGCCAGCTCACACTCTAATTGTGCTAGAGGTTGAAGGAAAATGAGATTTGATAAGCACCAGTGGTGCAAGTCTCCACCTGGGTACTTAGCCCCTGTCCTGGTCTAACAAAGAGCTACACAGCCCCAGCCCAAACCTTCTGTAGTTCCTGTCCCAGTACCTTCTCCCACATCCGTTAATCTAAAAAGTTAAACAAAAGAACAATAGGATTTAAATCACCTTCTTGCAGATTTGATTCCAAGAACCTAGCAGGGTAAATCAATGTCAATTCTAGATTTAAGGGGCTGATTTTTACCTGCCTTCTTACATAGTCTATCAGCTTGGCTTTGATTGTAACTGAAAGCTGAATCACTCCATCTTTGCTTTGCACTGACAGATGGGCTGTGGGGGCCACTTTGAAAGTAACATGCCCCAGTTCTCAGGGAGCCAAGCAAACACAGATCCCTGAATGTTCTCTATAAGGAAAATGTCTAATGAAACAATGTAAATATGTGTGCCTATTGCTCCCTGGGTTATATATTTATTACTTTTTTTTCCTTTTACAGTCTTTATTCTAATGACCAAAGTAATATGTGCTCACTGCAGCAAATTCAGGCATTACACAGAAAAGCAAAGCCAAAATGTTACACCCAACATTTTGGGTTGTACCTTGTGACTTTATGAATGTAGAAAAAATGATGAGATCCTAGTATAATGTTTTGAATGCTTATTTTCATCTAATGATAAAGTATGCAAATCTTTTCATGCTCTAACTTTTCCTCCTATGGTGATATTTGTAATGCTACATAGACCCCCAATGTTATAGTATGGCAGATATAATTTAATGAGTACCTAATTTTTTGACTTTGTGTTTATTTTTCATTTTTTATTATAATAAGACTGTAGTAACCATCCTTGTAGATACTATGCAGTTTTAGTATTTCCTAAAGATAAATTCCTAGAAAGTAGCATTTCAGGGTTAAAGGCAGATACCATACTAAAGCTTCTGTCACACATGAAAAGCAGTTAGGTAAACCGTGATGTCTCCTTCATCTTTTTAACTAGAATATGGCTATTTACTTTGCAGTCCATTACAGGCTTGGGAGCCCATGTGGTAGAAGAAGGCAGGGGTGACAGTCAAACTTCAAGCAGGGAATTTGCATAATTTTGAGCTGTTCTGCTGAACTGATACACAAATTCTTTTTCCAAGAACATTTTTCTTCCCTGGCTCTTGGAATCATCACTTTCTGGAGTGCTTCAGCCAGCAATGGAGTTGAAATATGTAAATATGTTCCTCAGCATTGTAGGTGGGGCTGGCTCCATGGTGAATGACAAACAGTTCCTCCGAGAAGAGTGTGTGTCTTCAGCATTTACTGAGGCTGTGGATTTCCCCCTCCCACCTTTTTCCTTCCCTTTGGTTCAGAGGCCTTAAACTGGCCTGGGAGATCTTACAAAGCAAACAGTTGAGACTCTACCCCACAGCTTATCTCCACCTGCTGTATGGCATTTTACTGGGAAAAATCAACCCAACGGAGTCTCCCTTCACAGTCCCAGGGCACAATCAATCAATCAATCAACATGTCTACATGCTATTTTGAAAGTGGAAATTGTTAGGCATCTTGTCCCCTCCTTGCGTGGTTCAATCCAATCAGAGGGTGCTTTTGCCAGTCCCCTCCTCATGTGTGGGATTTCTGTGACCCAGAAAAGATATGTTCCCTGTAGTTAGATAGCTAGTCATTTAACAAAGAATTCAGTGGAACCAGTGGGGGATGTCCGGTCCTCACATTTCCAAGGTGCCCCCATGCTCAGCAGGAGACATGAGGAGTTCCTTTAGATCAGGTAGACAGGTCACCTCAGGATTGTTTCACAGTGTGGTCACCACAGAGGGAGCCCGCTCTGTTGGTTGACTCTGACTTCAGACAACAGTTTAGATGCCGCTTTGATACTTATGCCACTCTAGTTTCACTAGGGAAGGTGAAGGGATGTTTCTATTCTTTGTCATGTTCTGAACATCAAATCAGAGCTTTGCTTTCATTTGGAAAACAGAAAGGAAACAGGCCGTATGGGATCTCCAGAGCAGTGGTCAGCACCCCAGTTCCTTTTCCTGTGTGTTCTGCACTCGCTTTACACAATGGCAGCACTGTAGCCTAACCCAATAGTGCAAAAGGGTATCAGAGGCAATTGGTTAATCATTAAAATCCTTAAAAACATTAGGTTTTAAGAATGTTTTTCTTTGAAAGTCGTTTTTCTCGCTGTGGGATGAGTGTTGATTTCTGAAAGGCTGGTCTTGCAGCCCTTGAAAGTCAAACAAAAGGGTTGCAGTTAGTACATTTATGGCTTTGGGTAAACCTTGCCAATTCCTGATGCCACTTTTCCTCACTATAAATTTGGGTTGGGAGAAGTGAGTGGTTTCCATGTTTTGTTAAGTTAGTGCAATCTCAAACTCTAAGGTGCACACTCCTAGTTCTGGAATCTTGTTAAGATGCAGATTCTGCTTCAGTTGGTCTGGGGAGGGGCCCAAGAGTCTGCATTTCTCGCCAGCTCCCAGGTACTGCCATGCTTCTGGTCCATGGTCCACACATGGAGTAGCAAGATTTCAAGCTATCTACTGCTCTGACATTATTTCCAAAAGTATTAATCATGATCCCTGGATGTCAAGAGGAGTTGCTTATATTTGTAGAATGGCACTATAAAGTGTCCATTCTTTCATTTTAGATTTGGGGAATAATCTTTATTTCCGCAGACAGTGGAAATAAAGTGCAGAGGTGCAGAGTCAGTCCTCTCATCCTGTAGTCGTATAGGAGATGGAAAATGAGGCAAGAACAAAATGAACACATACTCAGTGTTTTCTGTGTATCAGAGAAACTGAAGCTCAGTAAGGCTGAGCCCAGGGTCACGCAACTAGAACTAGCATTTGATGATAGGCCTCTCTGTCTCCTAAATCCTTGTTTCTCCTAGAATGGCAACTTTGTAACTTTCAAGAATGCCACATAATTAAAATTGATAACTTAGCAAAGCATTTTCCCTTTAGAGGTCCTTTTTCTGGGCCTACTTTGAGAGTGGATCAAGACATGTAAAAATTTGCATCATTATCATGTAAGCAATTAAAGTGCTTAAGAGCTTAAAAGCAATTTGTTCAAGTTGGTTAAATATCCACCCTCCCCAGTCTTGTTTGTATTATTAATTTACTCATCAAAGTGTGACATCAAAACTATTGTGAAGGTAGATTTCAGTATCTTCTGTTTGGTAGAACCTTTTAAATGCGAAGGGCTTGTATTGATGAGGTCCACAGTGAAAGGATCCAGTTCAGGGTGAGTCAGAGAAACCAGCTTTTTACTAAACAAACCCAGCTCTGCTTTGGCCTCTGGATGAGAACTGATCGTTTAAACGTTTTATTAACGTGCAATTATTCTGAGAACCAGTCAGCAATGCAGCTCTTTGCAAACATTAATTAGCTGATCCTCACATCATCCCACATGACAGATAAATAGCATTAACCTTGCATTTGAGAAAACAAATGGACACACACAGATGAGGGAGGAAGAGGGCAGCTCTTGCCTTGAAAGAAATATGGTAGAAGTAGGTGGAATTAGAGGACCACATGACTTTTTTACTTTATCATATTTATTGAGAAACGCACTAGATAATCTAGAGCTATTCTATGCAGTATAGTAGTCACTAGTCACATTTTAAACTAAATTTAATTAAAATGAAACAAAGCTAATCATTTATTTCCTTGCTTGCACAAGCCAGATTTCAAGTGCTCAAGAGCCACATGTGGTTAGTGGTTGCCATACTGGATGGTGCACTTATAGAACATTTCTATCATCGCAAGACATTCGATTAAGGCTGGAATTTTAAAAAATGCAAAGATCCTTGCCATTATGAACTCCAGTGTAAAATTTCCTAAAACAATAACTGACACGTGGCAACTACTGAGTAACTCAAGTTCTGGTGAAGTTCTTTGGGCTAATGGTTAGGGACCCAGCTTCTGGAGCTAAAGAACTGAGTTCAAATCCTGGGTGTGCCACATACTGAATGTATGACTACAGGTAGATGACTATTTAAATGATGTACGACTATCGGCAGACTATTTGAATGCTCTATGCTGATTCATGCTGCTATTTTTCACTTGTCTTATTAGCTAAGATTATTTTTAAGGCAGTGTTGGATCCTGGAGAGGGTGCTGGGAGACAGGTACTCTCCTTTGCTGCTGGTGGAAATGCAAATTAATATACCCTTTTAGGAAAGCAATTTGGCAGTAACTGTCAGTAGACTTCGGAACACTTATTCCCTTTAGTCCAGTATTCTGATTCTAGGAATCTAGCCAAAGAAAATAATCAGAGATGGGCAGAGAAGATTTAAGAATAAAAATGTTCATTGCAGTGTTATTTATAAAAGTGGGGAAAAAGGTAAACAATTGGATGGAATAAGTAAAGTGTGGCCGAGCCTAACAGCGGAATATTATTCAAAGATTACGTGTTGTTTTGAAAATGTGTTTTGTGACAAGGGAAAATGCCATGATAAAAATTATGTTTTAAAAAATACTAAGTGCTATACTGCTAACCCCCAAAAGTATTTTTAAAAGTAGATATTTGTTTAAGCAGGACTAGAGAAATAAAGTACTGAGTAGTAACTTATGAATTAATAGAATTTTTGATGTTTTGGGGAAGATTGTTTTGACTTTTTTCTTTATTAAGTTTTGTGTTTTATTTATTTATTTAATTTATTAACTGAACTAACCTAAGAGAATTGGCAACTGTGTGTCCCTGTGCTCTTTCTGCTATAGAATGCCTTAGAGATTCCTAGCTGCTCCAAATCTGTTTTTTTCTAGCATGTTTGGAACTTCTGGCTTATCTATTCTAGACTTTGTCTGCTTTCAAGGCCTAGATGTTCTTTCTAATGTTAAACCTTAATTCCTGTTTATGGCCATTTAAGTACATTTCCACATGTAGTAGGTGATCCTGACTGAGCAGCATGGGGTATTGCAAAAGACGTCAACTTCACAGATGGAAAGAACTAGGTTCAGGCCCTGAACTATCATCACCTCCTTGCCATGGACCTTGGGCGACCCTTCTGTGCCTCAGTGTCCTCATCTATGAATAGGGAAGCAATAGAATCTATCTCATATCTCATGGCTGTGTGGATTGTGTTCACGTCAGTGGGACATCTGGCACATGAGGAAACGTAAATGTCTTCCATGCCTGGGGTGCAGCACCCTCCAGAATGTACACTCCTTCAGTGCTTGTACCACTCTCTTGAGATTGTAGGATCATCACTCTCCCAAAGAGGGAGAGGAGGCATCATGTGGTTACTCAACATGACCCCTGCCATAAGGGCTTTGAATGGCAGAGCCGGGACCTGGACAGATGTCTGACAGACTCCGAGTGTTGTGCTGTCTCTGGTACAGGTTTGGAAGTTCTGTTCCCACCTGGCTCGTTGTATTTTGCTTATTGATTTCCCTGGGCTGCCCTTCATTGTGATGCCATTAGCCCCTCAACATTTCCCAGCCCTTTTTTTTTTTCCCCCAGGTTGAATGATTAAAACAAATATGCCTAACTAAAAAGTAGTCCTACATTGCTAAGTGACAGCAGCCAAGCCACATTCCAGGAAGAATGTAAACTGCTCACTAGTGGTTCAGCTCACTTTTTGCCACCTTGAAACAATGTCTTCTCCCAAATTTCACCTCTTGGCAGCTTGAAAGAGGCACTAAATTTGTCATCAGCTACAACCCCCAGTTCTCTCACTTTCTATCTGTGGGACCTTGGGCAAATTACTTAATGTCTGTGTGCCATAGTTTCCTTGTCCATAACATTGGGATAATAATCAGTCTTTGGCAGGGTTGTTGCTAGGATTATCATGCAAGAATCTTTGTGACAGTGTTGTGAGTCCTTGCCATCCTTGAATCAGCACCATTATTTCCAAAGCTTTAGAAGTAATTTATTGAGGTACCACTAAGTCACTGCTTCCTTTTTCTCTGCTACTGATGGTTCTCCCATATATTGCGGTTAAGTAAAATGTTTCCTAAGGGCATATAAGACAGTGAAAAAATGCCAACAGGTTTCGGGTTGAATTTTCTGCTTTGCCACCTACTAGCTGTATGCATTCAAGCAAGTTCCTTAGATTCTCTGAGCTTCCATCATTTTTTCAGTTAGAAAATAGAAAATAGAAGTGTCTACCTCCAAGGGTTGTTGAAGTAGCTTGGGTAGTGCCTGATAATCGGTGTCTATGTGAATGGTAGCTCCTGGCATTGCTCTTTTCCCCACTATCTCCCCACTGCTCAGCCGCTGGTCCGCTGGCTCCTGCTTCTGGATCCTGTCAACGTAGTCCAGTGGTGGGTGCAGGTGTTTATTGGGGAGGAGGCGGGAGGGGGAAGGATGTGGATGGCAGGGTCTATAGGAGTCTGTTGCAGGTTATTTCAGGTCAGACTCTGAGAGGACCCCTAGCTTCCTTGCCCCTGAAAATAAAGTTGCCTGTAGACATAGAAAAACCAAAGGGCTCTAGATTTAGACAGCAGATCCTGGCTCAAATTCCAGCTCTATTTCTTTGCGACCTTGCACCAGCTTGATCATGTTAAAAATGAGAATGATATTCTGCCTGTTTCTCTGAGCTGCTGTCAGGCACTAGATTTAGAGTTACTTGACCCTGACTGTGCATTAGAATCACCTAGGCGCTTTTTACCAAAGACCAGCTCCATGCCCCCACCATGGATTGCTCGACAACTGTGCCAGGTGGGACCTAGTCATCAGAACTCTGTAAAGCTGCCCAGGTGATTCTAAGGTACAGCAGGGCTGAGAAATGCTGCATAGAATAGAGCCTTACTAAATGTTAGTTTCCTCCATTTTCAAAGCAGCATAAAGGGATCTTATATTGAGTAATTTATGTATGAGGTGAGTGACCTAATTTGTTTGAGCCATGGGACCACAGATATGGTAATCAAGGCTTCTTTCCCACCCCTGCCCTCCTTTTTGGCAAACTGGGGCATTTGGGTCAGAAAAGTGGCCTTACTCAGCCTGTCCTCTTCTCATTCCAACACAGCTGCCTTCTGAGTGCTGGGAAAGGCCTGGCCCTTGCCTGGAGATGTCATGATAATCCTTTGACCTACTTTTGTTTCTTTTCTGTTCACTTCTGGGCTGTGCTCCATTAACCATTCATGCACAACCCTCCACCAAGCTGGCAAGGCCTCAGGATTCTTCAGGTGGAAGAGGGAATGCTCGATTTCTGCCCACATCCTATAAAATGCTTATCAGATGATAGTAATTTTCTAGGGTTAGTGTCAGAGACTTAGCATGACCCAAAGGCCTGGAGGCTCTTCACTCCTGCATGATTTGGTGATTTTGCATCTCTTAGACAATAAATTTTTCGTTGAGAAGTACTACTCAGCAGTCTGATTTTTTCTTGAGATCTTCTCAAACTCACCTCAAACTGGGGAAATGTGTTGTATTTTGGAGAGGGCTTTTAACATTTAATGTGCATAGGCACCACCTGAGGACTTATTAAAATGCAAGTTCTAATTCAGTGGTTGGGGAGCATGGGCCTGAGCTCCTGCATTTCTGACAAGCTTCCAGGAGATGTTGATGCCACCAGTCTAAGGCCACACTTGGCTTAGCAGAGCTCTAAGACTTTGGTCTTCTTTCCTGCTTCTGCTTCATTGAGTGAATGGAATCTGTCAGTTTTGTGCAACTGTTTGTCAGTATTGTTGTAGCCTCAGTGGAGGCAATTGTAATGTGAAGTAGACAGAGTAAATAGTGGCCATTATCATGATGCCGTGGAAAGATTCCAGTTCCAGGTATTATGTTGTACTCTTCAGGCTTCTTTTATATCTTCAAGCGCATTAAGCCTCATGGCACATTGTGGAATAGGCAGTGATTTTTATTACTAGGTAAGTATTACTTCGAAAATTTTATAACATTTATGATGTTTTTGTTTAATGTGGTTTTCTTCTGATTATGACAATAATGCATGTAAACAACAGAAAATTTAGGAAGCTTAAGATAACACAGAGAACAAGAAAAAATAACCCATAATCCTGCCATGGAAAGGTAGCTTCTCCTAACCTTTTGGTTTTCTTTCTGTTATAGTTTCTATGTAAAATCCTAATTCTCACCACTACCCTCTCCCACCATAATTTGGAGCACATTATGCACATTGCTTTGCAACCTTAATCTATCACGATCATTTCCCCGTTGCATTAAGTTTTTCCTCCAACATGACATTTAATTGCTATGTAGTATTCCATCGTAAGGATACACCATTATTTATTTAACTAATTTTCTACTGTTGTTTTCCATTTCTCACCGCCATAAATAATGCTGAGATCAACATTTTCATGTATTTGTCTGTTTATTTTCTTCATTCCAATATCTTTACTTGAAATTTCTAGGTCAAGGATAATGCAGCTTTTTAAAGCTTCTGACGATGTGCTGATCCATGATGGGCCTGTGGAAGCATGGAACCCAGACCAAGTTCCCTCTAGTCTGGTAGCAGTTTGACCAGGGAAGTTTTCATCATTCTTGTGTTGTGTAGGGAGTTTCATCATTCCCATTTCGTGTCACCAGGATACTAAGGTGGCACTGGAGAAGCCCTGAGGAGACAGTCCCCTCTGCCACTTCAGCTCCTGGTTCGTGTGTGCTATTCATGTGAACTGCATCACACTGGAGTAGGTGGTCATTAGGTCATTAAGATTGATCTAGACCATATCTTGCTTCCTGGATCTGTGAAGGTATCTGCAATTTTCAAGGAGAGAGGAAAAGGGGAAAGAAAGGTACCAGTACTGTGTCTATCAAACTCTAGATTCATATATCCAACTGCCTCCTTGATATTTTTATTTGAATAATCTCATATGCGTCTCACACCTAACACATCCAAAACTCATCTTCCCTGAAAGACCTGCTTTACTGGTAGTCCTCCCCAGCTCAGCTGATGGTAACTCCATTCTTCTGGTTCATAGGCCCCAAATTTTGGAGTCATCTTTGACTCCTGTTTTTGTTTTCGTACCTTATAGCTGAACCGTCAGGAAATCATATTGGCTTTGCTTTCCAGACATAACCTCACAGCGGACCACTCTTCATGCTCTCCACTGCTACCACCTGGGTTCACCCCTGATCTTCTCTCACCTGGATGGTCACGGGATCCTCTTTGTTGAATTGTGTGAGGCATGTGGCCTATATTATCTCCTTTATTCACTTGGAGCTGAGTAAGGTCTTGTTAGTCCTCATTTTCCAGAGGAGCCACAGGGACTCAAAGACTTTAGACATCTTGCCTGAGGTCACTCCACCAGTGAGTCAGGGAGCCAGGGTCCCTACAGAAATCCACCTGGCCTTAAAGCAAGTGTTCCTCTCCAGGAGGTACTGGTTGTAAGTTCATGAGCCATGGAGGGGATGGGGAACTTGAATATCTTAAACCTAGTGGCAGGAACAAGATACACACCATCTTTTGACGTCTGAACTTGTTAGCTAACATTTTTAGTAGAAGATGTTTATCCTCTTCTCACATCTGCCTGCACTGATGACCAAAGCCTTGTATCAAGAATTAATTTTGGAAGGAGATACTCCTTCATAGCCTACCCCTGAAGGTGGGAAATACTGTGGGGAAATTCATTCTAGACCAAAGTGTGGGTGATGGTCTCGAGGCATCAAAGTAGGTTTCTAAAAGACCCCCACATATTGGCATGTGTTTGTGCACAGGTGTGTGGGCACACACCTATAATTTATAGCACATTCCTAGAACTTTTTAAGTTAAAGTGTTGGCTTGTTCACTCTTATGGTTGTTATTTCTTGATCTGTTGTCATCACATGTCTCACTGTTCTTTCCCCTCAAAAATCACGGAATTGAATTCATTTGTTCAGAAGTGGACCCCAGAGGCAGGCAGGCAGGCAGAGACCAAAGAGATGTCACATAGCTTATACCAGAGGCGGGGGGAGCCAGGTCCATGTGAGCAGATCCTGCCACCTGAGATAGATAGGCCATTTGTGCCCCTACTGTGTGCTAAGAGGCACCTACTGTGTGCTGAGCACAGCAGCTCTGCCAACAGTCTTGTTATGCTCCATCACTGACTATATGAATAGTGTTGCCAGGATTTGAATTTGGATCAGTCTGGCTCTAAGTCTGTATTCTTCTACTTCACCTTTCTGGGACTCAGGAGAACATGGCCAAGAGTTTAGGGCTAGTCTCTTAGTAGCTAAACAGCAGTCTTGCCCCGAAGGCTCCAGACACTGAGATGGGCCAGGGATGTGGGGAGAGCTGGCTTTAGTTCAGCATCAGCCAGAACATCCCAGAAGGGATTGGACAGCTTGTGGAGGGAGTGAGCTCCCTGTCACTGGAGGAGGGTAAGCAGTGCTGTCAAGTCTGTTGAGAAGCTTCCTGCAGGGGGCGGGAGATTAGACTCAATGTCCTCTTGAACGGTTCAGTTACAGAATGGCTAGGTCCTTTGGTGGACTCCTCACCTTGATCCTTAGCACCATTATTAGGTATATCAATTAATCCAATCAGTAAGGGCTTGCTGAGTGAACTGGAGTAGATGTGATTCAAGACAGAAAAGCAGGAGGGTATGCCACTCAGATCTCAAGGCACTTAGGATACAGTTAAAGGTACTATTAAGACATTATCAGTTGAAGAGTCAGACTGACCTCAGTTTAAATCTGGGCTGAGCCGCAACTAGACCAGGCTTTTTCAACTTTGGCACCCCGGCCTTTTTTTTTTTTTTTTTTTTTTTTTTGAGACAGAGTCTCATTCTATCTCCCAGACTGGAGTGCAGTGGCATGATCTTGGCTCACTGCAAGCTCTGCCTCCCAGGTTCACGCCATTCTCCTGCCTCAGCCTCCAGAGTAACTGGGACTACAGGCACCCGCCACCACGCCTGGCTAATTTTATGTATTTTTAGTAGAGACGGGATTTCACCATGTTAGCCAGGATGGTCTTGATCTCCTGACCTCATGATCTGCCCACCTCGGCCTCCCAAAGTGCTGGGATTACAGGCGTGAGCCACCATGCCCAGCCTTTTTTTTTTTTTTTTTTTTGAGATAGGGTCTTGTTCTGTTGCCCAGGCTGGAGTGCAGTGATGTGATTAGGGCTCACTGCAGCCTTGACCTCCTGGGCATAATTGATTCTCATGAGCTTAAATGATTCTCCCACCTCACTCCCCCAAGTATAAGAGCTGGTACTACAGGCATTCAGCCATCATACCTGGCTAATTTTTGTTTTGTTTTGTTTTGTAGAGACGAGGTTTTGCCATGTTGTCCAGACTGGTCTCGAACTCATGAGTTTAAGTGTTTCTCCTGTCTTAGCCTTCCCAAAGTGCTGGCATTATAGGTGTGAGCCACTGTACCTAGCCAACTTTGCCACAGATGACCAGATAATTCTTTGTTGTAGGGGGTGTTCTGTGAATCAGGGATATTGAGCAGCATCCCTGGCCTCTATCCACTAGATTCCAGCCCCTCCCCCACCAGTTGTGACAACCAAAAATGTTGACAGACATTGCCAAAAGTTCACTGAGCAAAGACTTGCCAAGATTGCCCGTCCCTGGTTGGAGGCCGCTGGACTAGCTTGTATGACTTTTGGCAGATAAACTAAACTCTTGGTCTTAGTTCCAGTTTCTTTAATGTGTGGCAGCAATACCTGCTGTAAGAATGAAATGAGAGGATTAATCAAGCTTCTACCAAGAAGCCTGGCACAAAGTAGACAGACACATCTGAGAAAGAACCCTCTCACCCAGGTTAGTTGGGGAGGCAGGGAAGCTTCAAAAAGTGGGAAGCATTTGAGGTCAGACTTGAAGGATGAGAACATATTTTCCAAAAGGACAAGAAGTATTGTGATTATTATTATTCCTCCTACTTCCTCTACCCTTGCAGGCCTCCTCTCACTGGCTGGTCCCTCCTTCGTCTCTCCTATAAAAATCAACCAAAGGGACTCTTCTAAATCCTCAGCTTCTGGGAACAGGAGATTTGGTTCTGGCCTCACGGTTAATCCTCCCTGTGCCTTCTGCTCCAGGAGTGCATAGACCCACCTCCTTGTTCTGGAGCAGGCCAAGAATGACCCCTGTTTCCCCATCTTGTTAAGTATGAATTGGAAGTTTGCACCCATGCAGTTTCCCTGCAAAAAAAAAAAAAAAAAAAAAGCACTGAGTAAGCATTCATATCTGGCTTGAACGAGACAGGAGCTACAAATGCAGTTGAATATTTCATGAAGACCCTTTCAAACCACATGCTCTGTTCTTGTGGATGGTATGGGGGAGGGAGCACAGGCTGCAAGTCAGACCGTCTTAGTTTTAGCCCTGACTCTTCAGTGGAACTTTGTGGTAGGAAAGGTCTTCACTTCCCTGGGTCTCGGTTTCCTCATCTGTACGACGGCAGGGGTGGGGGTTGCAACTGATTTGGGATTTATTGTGAGGGCTACAGGAGATAATACAGGTAAAGGATCTGGCAGGGTGCCTGGCACATAGTAGGTGCTTAGTCAGTGTTACCTCTCCAGTTAGAATCTTCCTGCTCTCTTCCCAGAATTTGTGCTTTTAGGGACAGCATAGTCTTTCTGGATGACACAGGCCAGTGGCATGGGACTCCTTGAGGGATTGGGTTTAGGACAGCCTCCTGGCCTTCTCCTTTTAACTGAAGCTTTGGGATTGGGCCTGGCATCCTTGGAAAGCTCACCAGTTCGTCCCCTTTAGAAGATAGGATATAAAGAATTCTCTCTGTTTCAAATGGCCCAGCTGAGCATACTTTCAGTTTAAAAATAAGTCAGAAGGCTGTTTTAAAATGTAGAGGTGATAAGCAAATATCTGCCTTACCTTTATACAAAGATGAGTGATTAGAAGAGCCAAAATAGAAGCCCAGAAAGGCTCTGGGCCACAGTCCCTGCCACAGGCCCAGGCCCGGCCTCGGGTCAGACCCTCCCTCCCTCTGTTCTACCAGGGAGCCAAGGTGGCTGTAAGGAAAACAAGAGGAGTGTGGTGTTTTGTAACTATTTTTATACCTACATCAGACTTGATGTTAGTGCTTCTGAATTATTTAACATTTTTCTTTCTCAGTTGGGCTCTCCAGCGAGTTTCTCTCTCGGGGTGGAGGGAGTTGTTTTATAGGCAACCATGGAGGCAGACAAACATTGACTGCAGGACCTCTGCTTTTTTGGGGAATGACATTCTTAGGTATCCTATTATGAATTAGGGGCCTCCTATTAAACATAGGTGACAGGTATGATACGTGGCAGGTATCTTGTCTCTATGTTACAAACAGGGAGGCTAAGTAACTTGCCAAAGACCACACAGCAGGAAGTGAGGCAGTCAGGATTCAAACTCTGGTCTTTCTTACTGTAGAGCTGGTGCTGCTTCTACTGAGCTGGACTACTGCTGCTCTGTCCTTTACTCTGTGTGTGTGTGTGTGTGTGTGTGTGTGTGTGTGTGTGTGTGTAAGAACCAAGTTGGTGATTTGATATGGTACTCCTTAAGCTAACAGGCCCCTGTCACCGTTAGCTTAAGGCCCACAAACAGCGGGGAGGTGAACAGAGTTGAGAAGATGAGCCTCAGAAGGCTGAGCACTGAGAAGCAGGGATGTGGTTCCCTTGGTTATCGCATCCTGAGGGAATGGGAAGATTGTCGTAGCCCTAGCAGGAGGTCCCTTCATTGTACTTCGCAGGTGCCACGTGTGGGGTGTGGCTTAAGAGCCCTTCTCTCACAGTCTAGCCACACTCTTGAAAGGGGTACCTGCACCTTGGACCTCATTGAAGGGGGCGATGATTGGCAGCTCTAAACCACCCCGACAACAGGAGGGAATGAACTGGACTCTTATCTGCTGCCTCTCATAATTAAAGTCCATCATAGACTTTTAATGGGCATTTTGAAATAGACATCCTGGTTTGAAAGGAATCCTACTGTAGATCGAGATCAGTCTCCCCACAGAAGCACTGTCTCGCTGATAACTGTTTTTTTATTTCAGAGCCAGGGAAGATTACACATTTTCCTTGTTCCATTCCTTTAACTCCTATTTAATTATTGGTGACCTCGAGATGACTCTCTTTCAAGCATTTTAAACTCCTCATTCTACCTTGTGTGAAAACCCTGTTAGAATTATAATATGAACTCTCTCTGGGAGATAGGCCTCTGCAAATTAGCTAGGGACACTTATTTCAAAAGTGCCCATCGTTATAGTTTCAATAAAATTCACTGGGGTAAAGCAGTTGTTAGTAATGTTAATAACAGCTGTATTTTGATAGGAATGTACTTTATGACTATATCAAGCAATATCACATTCAGTTAAATAAAGTAATATCTGACATGGGTAAATTCCTTGATATTAAATTTCAGATAACTGTATGAAATACTAGGTTCTCCTTCACATACATATGGATGAAAGTGACCCTACCTTTTTTTTTTTTTTTTGGATGACTTTATTTATGAAAACATACAGACAAGGTAATGAAATGATATTCCAAGATAGCCTCTTATGTGAAATAATTTGATTTAAAGTTTTATAAGCATTACAAGAATTGACCAGTGTGCTTTCAAATGCCTCCCCTTGTGATTTTGCAAAGAAGAAAGCAAAGGGAGAGTGGGGAGAGTCACATTTAAAAAATAGTTTACACATTTAAAAAATACTTCCTACCAGATACCTTTGTGCACTCCTCAACTCATCTAATGCACACACAAGCACTCTAGAAGTCCAGTTTTCACTTGCAGCAAAGCTAAGTGAAAGCTTTGGAAACTTCTGGAAGTTAAAATATCATCCCTGAGGCTAGACTGCTGGTGGAATTAGCATTGCACCTGGGTTTATCTGACTCTGGAGTGCCTGCTGCTACCTCTGCCCCATCCTAGCTCCACGGACTAGGTTTCAAATATTTTTTCCATAGCGTGTGGATGTGTGAGCATGTGGAGGGGTAATAGCTTTTTTTTTTTCCTTTCCACCATGGAAGCAAATAACCATCCTCCCCCCACCAAAAAAAATAAAATAAAATAAAAACTGGTTTGTGTCCAAATAAGTTTGATAAATGCCAAATTAGGTTAATGTATTTTCATGCTGCAGAAAGTCTCAGAGTCTTCACTATGCTTATGTGAATCTCCAAGAGAGGCATAAATAGCACATAAGAGTTCCCAAACTTCTAATATGAGTTTTCTTTTTTAAAGTAAAACCATTTTTAGAACTCTCACAAGAGTAGGGTTTCTTCAGAAACTCTTTGGGAAGTGCTAACTTTGTGGATTCGTGAATCTGTGGGGTTATGATTATGGCTCCTGTCTTAGTGGTACGGTCCAAGCAGGAAGCTTGCAGAGTCCTGCAGGGGCTGAGTGTTTCCCTCTTGGGAGGCTGCAAGCTGCCTCTCTTTCTGACATCTTAGTCATTCAGATAAATGAAATTCGTTTTTGTTCCAACCCTTCCCAATCTATTTTATGGAAAACATCAAAGTATTTAAATACAAAGAGTAAGGATTTAACATTTTAAAAAAGTGTATGTCAAATGATCAGGAGGGAGAAAACCTTTACCATGGATTGGGAAGGATTTGCGTTGTTGAAAGAGCTAGAAGACAAAGATAAGCTTTTAAAATACATATATGGAACAAAGAGAATGCAGTGGGTTGGAATCAAAATATTTAAATCTGTCTTATTCCATTAAGAGAACTTTAAAATAAATGGTTTCTCGTTCATTCTCTCTCTCATTCACACACACATGCACATACACATAAAATATCACATAGGAAGGCTCATACTCAACCCCCCTCCCCGCCCCCACCTTGTATCTTGAAGGAACTAAGGAATAATTTGGCTCACCTAGGTAGCTGGGGAAACTGAGGGCCCAGAGAAGGGGAGGGCTTTGTACCAACCCACAAAGCCAGTTCATGGGACATCAGGCCAAGGAGTGGAGATGGGGATGATGTCTGACATGCTTTGCACCCCTACTGTGTAGCAGACCTAATGTCTTTACCTCCTTATAATCTCTTTATCTCCTTACAACCAACCAGGTTATGGGTGTTATTTCCATTAAAGTGGAGGAAATGAAACTAGGAAATGTCAAGCAACATGACCTATGGCTAGTAACTGGCCTTACAGTGGGATTTGAGCCTATACAAAGTACATATCACACTGTCAAGTCCAGAATGTGAGTCTCCTTTTTGCCGATCTAATTTTACCATCTCACCCACTATCCATCCCTGACTTACTAGACAGAGTGAGGTATCCACCCAGTTACCTTCTGATGAGTCGGGAGGGAACACATCCATCCCTGTGCCAGGGGTGCTAAGGGTGCCATTTGGAGCATGGAGGAAGGGAACTGACCTCTTACCTGTGGGTGTGAACAGCCCGACTACCCCATTCCCAAGTGCTCTGGTGGTTTATAAGCAGTAAGGTGAGTCACAAAGCAGACAAAGGCCACTGACTCAGCGGGTAGAGGGAGGTGCCCTCAGTTCTTAATTCAACATTGCCATGACTTGCTGGGAGTGGTTTTTGATTCTTCCATGTGTTTTTGAAAAGTCAAGTAGGCTTTTCATCTCCTTCACCACTTTAGATGTGAGTTTGTCCTGGAGGCAGGGAAATGGCTCAGCTGCCTTCGTGGGCTTCTGTCCATCCTATGCTTCAAGCAAGTATGAGCTAAGCCTATTTTAGATGTGACCTGGAATATAAACAATCCAATGAGTTTGACTTCCCTCAGAGGTGGCACCTGGAGAGGCCATACATTTATTCAAGTGATGCCACCATTGCTAAACACAAGGCTGTATGTCTCTTTGGGAATTTGGGAATTCAGTCATTCATTTATTCAGTCATTCAACTAATATCTGTTAAGAGTGTCCAATTTCCAGGCACTGAAAAAGTGGTGGGCAAAGTCAGAGGAAAAGCCAACCCCTGCCTTCAAAGAGATGACAACGTGTTGGAAGACACAGCCACATAATGGAGTAATTGGAGTGGGGTGTAAATGTACAGGGGACATACAAGAGCCACCTCTGCATAGGGGCAGTCAGGCAGGGTCTCACAGAAGAGGTGAAGCATGAACTGTATTGAAGGTGATCAGAGTTTGCCAGGGTGACCAGAGAGGACATTCCAGGTGCAGGGAATAGCATATACACATCCACAGGAAAATGAAAAATCACATTGTTTCAGTTGGGCTAGAGCAGAGGATGTTGTGTTGGCTGGTGGAGCCTTATGAGGGAGAATAGATTGGCGGGATTCGTAAGAGCCAGAATTGGCCTTTAGAACCAGCTTGTAAGCCACATGGTTGGCTATGACTCAACAGATAGAAGTGGCATCTTGCAACCATTAGTATAGTATTCTTGTTGTTTTCATGTTCCTCATACTGTAGTTTCAGTGTCTTTTGCTTGTTTAGGGAAATCCATTATACCCTAAAGGAGCAAGTTGATAAGAAATCCTCAGAGAGATATTCTAGATCCGTGCTTTTCAGTAGAGGTTTCTGTAATGATGGAAATGTCCTGTATCTGTGTCCTCCAATCAGATGCAACTATTGGACCCTTGAAATGCAGCTAGAATTGAATTTTAAATTTTATTTGTATTTTATATAATTTATGTTACTTATTATGCATCCTTGTTTGTCATATTTATATTTTCTTTCTATTGGGAAGTGCTAGTCTAGTGCGAGGAGACAGACAATCCCATTACTGAAACGTACACCATTTAAAGTATACTGTGGGAAAAGGGCCCTCCTTGAAGCCTGCACCCCAGCCGGGGAGAGTGCAATTAAAGAGTGACAAGATCTGCCTGGAGGTCAATAAGAAAGGCTTTCAAGAGGAGAGAACTTCTTATTACTGGGCTCTGAGAGTTTAGGCAATCTCCAAGTAGGGAAATGTGGAGTGATTCCCCCAGACAGAGGAGAGAACCTGAGAAAAGGTGTGGAGGCTCCAGAAAAGCACATCCCTGGGGGATATGAGGTGGGATGAGGTGACCTCAGGAGAAAAGAAGGCCACAAGGAGCTTGGACTCTATTCTGATGAAGCAAGGACACTTTAAATAGATGATGTCACATTGCAAGTATGAGCAGGCATGTCATGAGCATTATCCAGGACTGCAGGAGACATACATAGTGTTCTTCAAAAGACGATGTAATTCTTTGGACATGGGGCATAAACACCATGCTTCAAAGCCAAGGTTTTAGAGGCAGAATGCAAAGTTGAAACAACTTCTACTTAGGTACACCTCTCTTTGCTATGTGTTGATGTTTACTACCACTGTGGTTATGTTTACCAACCACTCTTGTGGTTGGTATTTCCTGTAAATCTTGAAGTCCAAACAACGGCATCTGGGCACAAGAAAGGATAAGAGGGAGCAGTCCCCTTTGAGCCATCCGCAGCCCAGGGGAAGATGCTGAAGTCCAAAGAGGCTGGCTGACCTGCTCAGTGCTGCTGAGCTTTCTCTTGCACTACACTGCCTTGCCGTTGGTGGCAGAACTTAAGTCTCTGGGCTAAAGGAAACCTAGTCATGTTTTCAGTGCTTACATAAGAGTCAATGTGTGAAACACACCTGCCTTTAAAGAGCAAAAATAAATTTCTTTTAAATGATTTCTTCAGCACAACATAAATGTGCTAAACATTGACATTCTTATGCCAGCCCTTAGATTTGAGACTTTCAGTTAACTACTTTCCAGATATCTGTTTTGCCCTTAATGTTATACAGTATTGATATATTATTGATCAGGACCTCAGCCACAGTGTATCTTGGCTAAACTGTCCTAGGTTTCTAGCAAACAAGGAATGACTGTGTGAGTGGCAAGAAAGCATTGATGTTACAATTGCCTGCAGTATCTGTCTTTTTGTGCTGCTGCCTGGTTAGGTACCAAAATCCTATCTGTACCAGAGATAGAAGATGCAAACTTTGCACAAAAGCA